TTCTTTAATTAAAACTTCTTTAATTGATTTGGTGATCAAAAGTCTTATTTTTTGGTGATCATTTCACTGCTAATAAATTTGGTGATCAAAAGTCACTTTTTTGGTGATCAAAAAAATTGATACCCATGAAAAATATGATAAACTTTGTAAGAAGATAAAAGTTGCTCAGAGAATGAATAGTCATCTTCTAACTTAAATTAAAACTAATTAAAATTAACATTCGTGCATGCAAGTATTAAAATACAGTTAAAAAAGCATGTAACTTTAACGTAAAGTAAAAATAAAGATTTTTACCTGAACAATATACTCATGTATTAAAAATTATTTATGTCTAATTTCTAAGAGTATCTCTACTATAAGTTATGGATTTGTTTTGTACAACTTCCTTGATTGTTGCACGGATAAGCTCAAAAGTGAATAAGAAATGAAACATGACCAATTTTACGGATCGATTTTCTCGTTTGAATGTGTTCTCTACAGCTTCTACAGCCGCAGATATCTGTAGACCTATTACTATGGACATCTGAAAGTTTTTACTAACCGCATACGCTAGCACAGGCGTGGCAAGAATTTGTACATGTCCAAGCCGATTTTCCAACTAATCCACTTGCACTTAATATCTACAAAACGAGCCAATACGAATCAGCGCCACAGATGGATTTTTTGGAAGAACTCCTGTAAATTGTTTAAGAATCCCATAAAAATTGGCTTTCACATGTCCATAGTAATAGGTCTACAGATTTCTGCGGCTGTAGAAGCTGTAGAGAACACATTCAAACGAGAAAATCGATCCGTAAAATTGATCATGTTTCATTTCTTATTCACTTTTGAGCTCATCCGTGCAATAATCAAGGAAGTTGTACAAAACAAATCCATAACTTATAGTAGAGATACTCTTAGAAATTAGACATAAATAATTTTTAATAAATGAGTATATTGTTCAGGTGGAAAAATTCATATGAAAATCTTTCTCCTAGCAAAACTCCACAATGTCCTTTGTGCAATGGCTCTAAAGACATGTTAGCCTTAAAAATAAAAGCGATTTTTGATTCAATAATCACTTTGGCGTACGAGATTTACAACCGCTTTAAAGTATAACACAAATTCATTGGTTTTATTTTATTAATAAAAACTGATACAAAAAAATCAAAAACAATAGTGTACAAAATAGTTACAAAATCATTCAAAAAGTAAAACATTTTTGCATGATCGACGATCACCGGTCATATGACAATCAACGAAATGTGTAGCAAAATTAGATTTTGCCACACATTTGTGTATAGACTTACGTCTTTTCAATACGCCAGACTTTGAGAAGCGAAGATTGTGTAGAATTTGAGATGAATGCTATAGTAGATAAAATATTCAGTTTAGTTCCAATTGATATACAACTATGTATTTTCAGTATTCCAAACAGCTTGTTGAAATAGTTCTTACGGTCTAACAGTTGGCAATTTAGTTCTGAAAGCATATGAAATAGTTCAATATCGTCACAAATCGTGTGTCTAATAGCAGAATATCTTCTACGTTTTTAAGAGCAACTTCTTAAGACAAGGGCGGAACCCAAAGTAAAAAACACTGATTTTACGGTAAAAATTTGTCTCCAAACCTCAAACTCTATTTCTCTTTCCTTCATGATCGAAAGTTTTCAGCAAACGCGTGGAAAAGCAAGTATAACACATAATTTATGATGTTAAAGTTATTCATGATATTTTTATTTTTCGATCTCGTAAGAAGAACATTTAGATTGTCTCTTTGTTTTGACCTTCTTTACTAGTTTCTGACAATATAATCTCTCGGGTATGCAGCTTTTTTTATTTTTATTACGTACATTCATACAAAAGAAATAAGAGGGTATTAGCCTCTTCTCTCAGGGAATGAATCCAGGGATTTAGTTTAAGCTTTCACTTGACTGATCACAATAACTACTTAGAAATGAGAAATTTTTGAACCGTACACTTATAACACAGCCTGAATTAATGCTAAGCATTTGAGTAAAAACCTACTGGACGAGAAAACTGCTGGAATCCTTCTCTACCAGGAGAATGTCATCGCGCTTTAACTTTGTATGGATTTGTTGTACTAATTAAACTTTTTCTTCTCTCTATTTCTGCTTCTCTCGCATTATCTTGGCCAGCTAATCTAACAAATATTTGTTCCAATGTTGTTTGCGTCACCGAATAACTTTCAATTTCTTTCAAGTCTTTTTTTTGATTTAATAACTGGAATACCCTGGCCAAATTAAATGAGGAATTAGCAGTCGTATTAATATTAGCCGATCGTTTTGTATCAAATGGTACATTGCAGAATAACATTCCATTATGCTCATCTAAAGAATAAATGATAGCTAAACATATATATAAACTTTTACAGACCTTATTTACCGTCAAATTGAATTCCCGGCAAATTTTCTCTCAAATTCGCTTTAAACGCTTCAATATCATTCGTATTTGCTTTTATTATTACTCCATAACCTTTACCGAATTTGTTTTTTAAATGTTGTAATCCGCCCAAACACCTAAACTGACCTAGTTTCATTATTCCAATCCTTGTACATAGGGCCTCACATTCTTCCATACTAAATACAAATAAAAGATTTTCAGAAAAATGAGTAGAATATAAGAGCTAGATTTACCTATGACTCGTTAAAATAATTGTTAAGCCTGCATCACGAGCTGCACGAACAACATCCCACAATTTTCGTTTTGCAGCTGCATCTAAGCCTGTAGTTGGTTCATCGAGAAATACCAATGATGGATTAGCCATGAATGCTAAAGCTGCTGAAACTTTTCTACGATTGCCACCACTAAAATGATAAATAACATAAAAATAAAATTCTAACTATAGATTTTATATTCATATACCTAAGCTTTTGTACTTGACGTTTTTCATAAGTATTTAATCCAAATAGTTCAATTGTATTTGAAAGTATATCGGGTAAATGTTTTTCACTTAAACCTTTTAAACGTGCAAATAGTGTTAAAGTTTCATTTACATTCAAACCATGAACAAGCCAATCAAATTGAGGACAAAAACCAATTTCAACATCAGTTTTCTAAAAATATAATAAATACTTTTAAAAATCAGTGAACAGTTTAACATCGTGAAAAACGAACCGCTTTATGAATATCTTTCCCATTGATAATAATATGACCAGAAGTCGGTTTTAATTCTCCAGTTAACATACGAAACGTTGTTGTTTTTCCTTGAATAAGAAAAAGAAAATTTTAATAATTTTAGTCGAGAGAAAACTAATGATTTTTAATTTGATTTACTTACCAGCACCGTTAGATCCTACAAATATAAGAAAAAAAATTGAAATAAACTTCAGATATAACAAAATTATCAGCTAAAAAATATGATTTTGTCTCTCATGATAAAAATCTTTGAACATATCAATGATCGTACCTAATAATCCGAAGCAAGATCGTTTATCTACATGAAAATTCAAATGATCAACGGCTGTATACAGTTGGCTACGAAACGATTTTTCTTTTCGTTTTTCAAATGTTATCAGTAAATCTTGTACATAAATAACGGCTTGTGATGGATGAAATGTTGTACTATTTTGATTGGTATTTGACATATCATTATCGATACCATCATTATTCAATGTATTATTTAAAACCGCGCGTCGTTCAAGTTTAACATCTTCATCAAGATTCTAGAATGTAAATCATAATATATTACACTTAGAAATAAATAATAGATGATGAGTATAGGTACCGAATCATCCCAGTGTTCAGTAAAAGCAGGTAATTCTTTTCGTCGTCTACAATACCGTCTAATAGCTTTCCAATTTTCAATAAGAATAACGATAAACCACCAAAATAACATTTGTATAAAAAAAAGCAAAACTTGTATACCAACACCAGGTTCTCTTACTGATAACCATGGTTCATTACTAGGATACGAGCCTGTAAACAGAATAAAAATATATTACTTAGATAATGAGAATGATGTCAAAATAAAATGATTCAAATCATTAAGTTGGTATACATTATAGACTGAAACGAGATTTATCAATTACAAATGAAAACAGTAGACAGACAAAGAATAACTTAGAAATGATAAGATTAATCCAACTTTTCTTCTCATTTTTAAAGGAGACACCTTTACTGACTATTAAAAATGATAAAGTTGGATTAATCTTATTATTTCTATATTTAAATTATTCATCTTAAAAGTAAATCGTTCAATTACTAACTTACTTCCTAATATTGTATTTAGAGCAGATAGGCATTCTTGATTATCATGTAAACGCATATTAAATAATCCATGTTTAAAATTAACAGTTGGAAATAGAACACATAATATCCAACGAATAGCAGTCATTACTACACTTGTTTTAGATGGTTTTGTCGTTGATGTACTTTGTCCTTCGGTAAATACTTGAATAAAACTTAATACCATATCAAGAAAACCTTTAAAAAATCTAACAGATAATAATAATAATTTTCTAAATTTTAAATAGAATTCTATATACTTACATGCAACGATATTGATAATAAAAAAATTAATAAATCCAATTAATTCGCTTTTTGGGATAAATGATGTAGCATAAACGAATGGAATTGATGCCAATGAATACAATATAAACATAACAAAAAATAATGCTGTCTGAGGCATTGCACCAAATGTATATACTTCTGCATCTGTACTTGAAACGGATATAGCAGCAATCTAAACAAATTATCATTCTTTTACTGAATTATATTTGTAGAGAAATATAGATGAAAAACTCAAATTTGCTGTGTCTCTCTATCGAGTCTACAGTAATTAGAGGTCTTTACCATTATTCATTACAAGTGAATTAAAAATAAGAAACACATTTTTACCTTAACCATAGTTGTTAATATTCCAGCAACTATAATACTGAATGCAAAATCGTAGAGAGCATTAGCTAACCAATAAATTACTTTACTCAAATTTGATAATAATTGTAAATCTTTTGAATGTGTTATTCTCTCTTTAACAAATACCAACATCAATACTGATATAAATAGTGAAGCTATGATCGAATTCATGAAGTTAAATAAGGACAATGGTAGTGTGTCAAAACAATAAATAACTTCAAAAAGTAAAGCTGCACCAGTTAGTGTGCCCGTAGTTATTATTGGATGATTTGTTGTTATAATCGATTTTGATGAAGAATTTGAATAATATTGAAACAACTGTGTAGATGATACACCTAGACCAACCGACATTGTATGATAATTAACTGAACTAAAATAAGCATTTAATTTTAATGAACGAGGTGACGATGTTGAATTATCATAGAGAGCAAAGGAAAGTTTATATGTATTAACAAAAATTGTTTCTGTTTCAAGGTATTTTGCTGTGACATAATTTGTGATATTATCTGTTGATAATTCATTAATTGTTGCACCTTGATTAATCAAATACGTTTTTAATTGACTAAATTGATTGTAACCATTATCATTTCCATAGACGACAATTGTTTGAGGATCATATATAGATGGGATTAATGTGATTTCGGCGCTAGAATAACGATCATTTTGTAAAAGACTCGATTGAATTTGTTTCGGATTAGGAAATGCGGCGACAGTGATAATTTCGATTAATATCGGACACAATAAAAAACCAATGAGAAATGCTGCTTGACGACGAGAAATAATCCAACGTTTAACTAATAAAGCATAGAGACGATTTAAAAATAAACGTATGCGATTATTTTTTTCATATTTGGATTGAAATACTTAAAAAACAAAAAATCTATATATATTCTATCTTTTTGATTAACTACTGATCTTTAAATTACCTTTCTCAGTTAATTCTCTTCGAGATATTTCACGACGTTGATCGTCGTCTGCTGCTTCTTCTCGGATAAGTCTTTGAATATATATAACAATTAGTTATGTAGAAAGATTATAGACGCAATATTTTACTTAAGAAATACTTCTTCGATTGTTGTCATCGATATTCCATAGCCATTAATATTAATTTCACTGATATTTTTATTTAATGCATCAATTAAACGACTAATTTCTTTTGAATTACCTCTCGGTATTCCATACACTAATTCGGATCCTGAGTCTCTTTCTAATACGGCATTTTCAATGTGATGTTGTACAAATATAGTAACAGCATCAGACTTGGATGTTTCATTTATTTCAATAAATAAGCGATATTCAAATTCTAAGTATTCAGTTAATCATAATGAATTCAAATAGATTTGACGTTTAGTCGTCACTTACCAGTTTGATTTTTTAAAAAATCTGGTGTACCATACGCTTGTAATCTGCCACGAGTCATAACTGCTATTCTATCTGAAAGTACATCGGCTTCTTCGAGAAAATGTGTGGTTAATATTACACATTTTCCGGTTTCTTTCATTTTTTTTATGATTGTCCAAATTAAACGACGATTGAAAGGATCTGTAAATTTAGAAAATTTATATTTTGAAAAAGCTCAAAAAAAATGATTTTTTACTACACTTACCGATTCCACTGGTGGGTTCGTCAAGAATCAGTACCTAAAAGCCCGAATAGACAATAGATGGTTTATAGTTAATAAGTTATGATGTGCAATTTTATTTACCTTCGGGTCTCCAACTAATGAAATACCAATCGAAAGACGTCTCTTCATTCCTCCTGATAAATCTTTCGCTAGTGTTAGGCGATCGTTTGTTAGACCAATGAGAAGAATAATATTTTCAATTGAATCGTCCATTGTTCGTTTATCCATATGACGCAACTATGACGTTATAAAAAAAGACAGCTAAATTAAAATATTCTAAAAAATTTAAATGGAGAGAGAGCGAACCTTTGCAATTAATTCTAAATGTTCTTTAACTGATAATTCATTATACAGAATATCTAAACTTATAAAAGAAACACGTTTCATGAATGTTGAAACATTTGTGATAATTTTAATCATTACTATGTCAGTTAAAATTGACATTTAAGGATCTCTTATATAACCATACATATATATTCTGCCACAATTTTGAACTTCTTTAAACTCATTCTCTTGCTTCAGTTATAACTGAAGTTATTGAGAAGACTTTCTATATCAGAGATTTTCTTGTTATAGTATCTGTTAGACTAAGTTTCATCTCATAGATTTTCTGATTTTTGAATTGTCTTCTATCCACTCGATCCTCACTATACCCCTTCCTTCTATGAGAAGCACATAATCTATTCGATTTTATTGATCGAAAGATACATCACATTGAAAAGCATCACATGTCGATCGCTGAATAGTCGATTGACAATATTGAAACCTTTCTAACCATCATCTTACCATATTGAGGACAAAAACCTAATTGTCTTCGAACTGCTTGGATATGTTGTTGATTATCTAGTCCATCAACACTAACAGAACCATTAGTAGGCTCCAACATGCCCACAAGGATAAATGTCACTGTCGTTTTACCTTAAAGAAAATAAAAATTCTCTTACAGTATCTTCGCACACAGTATTGTCTTTTCGCATACCAGCCCCATTATGACCAAGAAGACAACAAACTTCATTTTTATAAAAATCAATCGACAATTCAGACACAGCACGAAATTTTCCGAAGTTCTAGAGGGAATAAGCTATGTAGACGTTTTTCCATTATCGTTTTAACAAGAATTACTTTAGTTAATTGCATTACAGTCACACACGGCATTTCCGATGATGATATCGATTTCATTTCAATCCAGTGATTGTAACCTGATCCATTTGGTCTTGACTTCTGATCACTGCGTAATATTCCATGAGAATCAAATGGTTTTATTGCCGACGACGAATATGGTTTCCAGTAGCTTTTCTAAATAGATAACAGGTTTTTAAACTACTTCACTTCTATAATGTTGACCAAAATTATATGTATTTCCTGAAAGGACACTTAGAATCAATCTTATAGGTGTGTATTTCGTATATACCCATATGCTGATCATAGACCGTATGTTCGTGTTTGATCTTATCGTTCAGAAACTATGAGCGTATACCATTTTGCTTCCCTAACGGTATATATCTTTCTGCTGACAATGTTTGATAACTATTTTTCCGAATTCAAAAGTTAATGACTGAATGGATCTAGAGATTCAGCAAAATAATGTAAACTAATCATTGAGAAGTTTCTAAGAATTGAGGATCAAGTGCAAAATATATGTTAATTACAGAATAATATCGAACAAATCATTTCTGTGGAAGTTGGTTGATGGAATTTTTCTGATAAAAGCGATGGCGTCATATAAGAATAGAGTCCTTAAAAAACTTTCAACAAAAAGTAAAAGCAAGGTTGGAGAGAAGGCTAAATTATACAACATCTACAATTTTGGCCGCTAGCGGATTACTCTTTCAATTTATATGCATTTCTAGAAACTGTATTTACGTATTCTTTCCGCTGAGAAAAGGTGTAATTGGCATATCAACAAAACATGAAGAGATATGATCATTAAACATACTTTAAACAAGTAATTCCATGGTTGTGCAATACCAAATTCTCCAGGACTAACTCTTTCAACATAAATAGCCAAAAGCATGAATATAAAGGACCATAGTAACTGTAACAATAATATGACACCAATATAAAGTGGATATTCAAATAAATTCGAGTAAAAATTATTATAAGTTGTATAAATAACTGGAAAGAAACATAATCATATTAGATCGCGTACTATTATTTCATACATAAAACCATAATCTTACAACTCTTTCGTTCATATTGTAAAACAACTTCTATACAAAATAATAGACCAGTATTCGGAAATAAGGACATAAAATAACGTACGCCAACAGGAGCGCCAGCATAAAAATCGATAAATGTTATAACCCATAGCAAAAAACCAACTAACTTTGCTAATAGAGCTGTAAAAATTAGAGAAAAAAAATCAAAAAATATCGTTAATAACCAAAGTTAGTTTTATACTTCTTCGAAACAATTGTCCAAAAAATACACTAAACGTGGATGTATGAATGGAATATCTAGAAAAAAAGAAAATACCAATATGGTAGATAGAAATCGTTTAACTTAATCTCTACTCGCTATCATTAGAAATTGCTTGGAAAAAATATTCGACTTACACTAAGAATATGGTTAAAATAACAGACCAATGTGTATAATTGAATATTGCTTTGCTAACACTATTTCTTCTTTGACCTGAACTTGGTAGTACAACAAGGCTTAAACCTGTAACTACTGCTACTAATGCAATATAAATACACATTGCACGACAAACCCATACGAGATTATTTATCCATGTACGTAATCCAAAGATGCGCAAATATTCCTAAATTGTAATTATCCGTCAGTATGTAAACAAAAAAACTAGATAAATTAAAATTTTGATTACTTTTGTCTTATTTTCACGCTCTTCAACTATATAGCCAACATTCATGATAAATGTGATTAAAAATATAATAGAAAAAAATATTGGGATAAAAAAACTATAAATTGATTGTAGTTGATCATAATAATATTCAGGACATCCAAAATGAGTTAAATAGATCTAAGATAATAAAAATAGAATTAGTCATATTACAAACTTTTTTAGGTTAGTTTTTTTTATATGGATTTACATTTGAATAGTCATTCATCACAGTTCCTGTCGAATATTCAATAATAGCCAAATTAATAAAATACTGTACGCCCAAAAAGGCACTAGTATAATTGGCCGTGGTACTGTTAGCTGAAAAAGAAATTCAAACACATTTTCACATCTTCCATAAAAAGTGCAGTAGATATTGAATTTATTCAGAAACAGTTTAATCTCTTAGTGTCAAATAATTCTTTTTTTTTTAATCAATAGAATTGCTAGTGTAGCACAAAATTGTACCTGATGGAGTCTTATCATTATAATGTATCGCTACTATACCGTTAAATTTTAGCAAAAACTGATTTCACTTAGAATTACAAAATATATGGATAGTTAAAAACTTACATTGACAATAATCTTCTGGCGAACGTTTCCAAAAATACTCATTTGAGTCTATCAATGCTTGTTGAGGACGATAATAAAATGCTCCATTTCTATAAGTGTTACATAATAAGTAACATACAAATTGTATTTGGATTTTAGAAGAATATAAATCACTTACTCTTGCAGTCTTAGCGTATAATTAACTTGATCGGGCATTGTTGCTGCAGTTGTACATGAATCCATATTTGTAAAATAAATAAAGGCATATATTTCTTGTTGAATTGAACTTGATAGACTAGAAATGTCGGAAGATGAAAGCGATTGAACTAAAAAATGAATAATTCATTAATATTAATAATCTTAGATAGAAATGTAATAAAGGTTCAAATAGTAGTAAAGATAAAATATTTTATTTTCAAAGTAGTAAGAGGTGACTTCTATCACTTCAACACATCTTGGTAGAATTCATCACATAATCAATCTGAAATTTGTTTGTATCCAAAAATTATCCTTTATCCGAATGTTTGCTTTTGTCTTTATTTCTTCGAAGATAATGTTTATCACATTAGATAATTGTTTGATAGATCCACTTACCTATTGTAGTGAATATTGGCCAATTTGTTTGCAATTTTGTGATTGTACGATTAACAATTTGATCTGTACATGGATTACTTGGATAATAATATGTATAATTTGCGTTTACACTGTTATTAAATAACATTAAATCTTGTGGACGAAATGCTGGTAATTGAAACGCATGATTATATCGTCTATCGAGTATATATCTCATTCCGAGTAAAAGACCCAGAAACGTATAGGCAAGTAATATTTCGGTTATTGTTTGACCACGTTTACGTTTTGATAATAAAAATGTTTTGTAAAATAAGGCACGAAAATCAGACCAAAATTTTGAAAATTTATTTGAATGCTTCGAAGATGGTGTCGTTGACGGTGTCGATAACGATGGCAGTATATTAACAGTGGATGACTCACTATACACTATCGTCTGCAAAGACGATTCTGGCGACCACGAACTCATCCGGACTCTAAATAAAAATATAATTGTGTTGTTTGATACCTTAGACTATTTACATCTGTTATAAATTTTAATATTAGTTATCGTGTGCATCTAGTCTACTTTGTCTACAGAAGTTTGTTTCTCTTCGAACAAGATCTCTCTCAATATCTAGGAATTATCTTTCAAATATTTCAGGAAATGTTTCAAGTTTTGTCCAAACTGCATCTATTATTGAAGTTTCACTTGAGAAACTCTTAGTTTTTGTTGACTTTATTCTTGTGTTTCAAGTTGTAAACAAACATAAGTTTTCATGTACTAGTAGACTTTTAAAATGAGATCATTAATCAGTTCAAAATCTATTATAAAACAACATGGTAAAAACATATTGTTTCAATGCTCTTGTCTAGCACTCACTTCTCGGTAAGTTCATCAAACTCCAGCATAATTCAGTCTTCTAATGGTTGTTAATTGTAGAGTACTAATCCGTCTGAGAACAATATCTATGGCTTTTTCACTTTATTTTGATATATAATAAAATTTTGTTCTGTTTTACCAATTAGTACTAATCAACATTGGTATACTGTCGAATACATATAGGTACTGTATTTCTTATTTACATAATCAACAATTTTTACTAAATACACGTCATTTAAATGTTTGAACTATTAAAAGTTCTTGTCAGTTTTCTTTCTTACTAACAATTGTCATCTTACAAAGAAATTATTTAATTAAAAATTATAGACAAATAACATGTGTTCATATATTATTATTCATCATTTTCGTATTATTATAATGATTCAATGTCAATTACATATGATGACTATAGAATTGAATGCTGTTTATATATTTTTGTTTTCATGGAAATTTTAATATGTTAGATACTAGAAAAAGTTAATTGCAAATCCTTATATGACAATTATAGACAAATAGAAACCGAAACAGAATAAAATAATAATATATATTTTAGCTAAAAATAAGATTAATTTGAATTTATACAAATATTAAAAGTATGACTGATCAAAAATAAACTTTTAATTTTACTTTGACCACAATAGACATAGTTATGTTTTTCTTATTATATTTTTGTTGTACACGTGTAGGACATATTTTATAATAGTTATGAATTATTTATCAGAATAATGAATTGAATTTAAATCAATTTTTATTTGTACTTGTACTTGTTCTTAATAATGAGTTCAAAAATTTATTATACGAAAAATTTATTATACGAGTATACTTCAACATCAAAATGAAATTGTCAGATTTCTATGCTAAAAAATTTTATTTTTTTACCTAATAAATATATTATAATAAATGTAAATAAACGGGAATAAAATGCAAAAACTTTACCTTTATTTTAACAGAAACACACCTACCCGAATAAAAATGTGAGCTATATGCAACATTGATACAGCATACGTGCTGTTTATAAGAGTTTACCAATAATTGTTGAACATCAAACTAGTCGATTTCTTCTGTTATTAATGTTGGTAGTATACTTATCTATTTACCATCTCATCAATATCTTAATTTGTTTAAATAATGAGAATTTAAATTTGTTTAATTTATTTGTTAAAGATTTATCGGAAAATGACATTTCTAACAGTTATTTGCTTTTCTCTTCCGGTTTTTCACCGAACAGATAATCATTTTAAAAATAGACAAGATGTTTTTTTGTATGTAAATTTTCTTTTCCGATTCCATATTTGACTTCAATGCATCATTTATACTACTTGAATAGCAATCATTTAACACCAAATATTTGACATTGTTTCCATGCAGTCACGTCGAACCATCAAACGGGTTCGATACTAAAGAGACTGCGAATATAAGTCAGCAAGAGTTCAAAGTTCTGAATTTTGAAGTGTATATAGTTTTAGAAAACAAACACATTGAACTGCGACAGTTCAATGTGTTTGCTTATAAGACTTTAAGTTTTGATAGAACAGTTGACTAGAGTATCGTGCAACAAACCACTTTTGCAGAATGAATGAGATTAAGATGGGTCCCCTCATTTAAATTTTCTTTAAAATTTCCCAGTTTGCAGATGACACTTCGAAGTATATGATTTGAACTTTTTCGGCTTACTGACCATATTTGGCTGAGAAAAAAATGATGCTAAATTTATGAGTACAGGATTACGATATTAAAAAGTTTGTGTTAATTAGCACTAATTAGTCAATAACAGGAAGGAAAGGACAAACTTTTTAGATATTTCTTTGTAGTAAATATTCTCCACACATTTGTCTATCGATCTACGCAAGAATCAAGCTATTATGATGAACAGAGAAGGGACAGGAAATTTTTCATTAATAGTCTTACACACAAAAATTGAACAACAGTTTTTTCAGCAAAATAAGGTCAGTAGTCAGAAAAAACTTCAGACCATATACTTCGAAGTATCCTCTACAAACTGGGAGAGTTTGAGGGAAAATCCAGAACATATCACTGGTTTTGGGCACAGCGAAGATTTTTTCCGCACATCTTACGGCTAGTTCCACTCGAACCAAGCATTTTAGATCAAAACTCTACAGAAGTTGGCCGGAATCGAATGCCGGAGTCCCTCACGAGAGCTTTTTAGAAAAACATTTTTCTTACAACGACCTCTTACAAGATCTTATAAGATCTGATGATTTCTTATGCAATCTTTCTACAAGATCTTTCGATAAGACCTTGTATGATCTTGCGGAATCTTATAACTTCTTGTCGTAAGATTTTACAAGATCAGTTTATAAGAAATGTTAAAATCTTATAAGATCTTCTAACAAGAAGTTATATGATCTTGTCAGTTCTTATTACAAGATCTTATACGATGTTACAAGAAGTGATGACTCATTCCTACCACATCAATTTTGCTATGATATGTAGTATATATATAACATGGTTCTTATGACAAAACTTAGAATTTTTTTCTTCCTTCAACTTCACACATTACCTGAGCATAAATAAAGGGCATAGCTATAAGAAACGTGGTTAGACACGTTACCTAAGGACGTCAGAATCCTTCATATGATCGAAAATATTATGAAAATCAAAAGATTCGTTTTATAGATGGGATCTATAGGACAGAACCAGAGACATAATCTTGTAAGATCTGATGAATTCGAATCTAATCTTATGAAATCTTTCAAGATCTTATCACAAGATCTTACAAGATCGAAGTGTCCTCCACAAGCTGGTAAAAAAAACGGGTGAGGGGACCCACCCCTTAAGTCACACAGGCACAGTGTACATCAAAGCGGACATTAGGTGAAAAAATGCAAATTGACTTTTCAACGATTTAAATAGTGCTAGATATACTTCAAGTGATGCTCTATCTGATGGCACAAAAAGTTTACATTGTTACAAAAATGATGTAGGACGGGAAAATCAGCTGTTCAAAAATTAGCTTGAAAAGAACGTCATCGGCAAAACATCAATTTTACACAGAAATGAATAATCTGGTAAGTAAATGCATTGTAAATGCTGAATCCCCGCATCGTTTCGTATACATAAGTAATGAAAATTCTTAGTTTGGGATGGAGTTTGTTGATAAAAAAATAAAAGATTTTCCTAAGAGCCATTTAACATAAGCGGCGACTATGTTACATGGAACACTGCCCAAACATGTCTCACAGAAGTTGTTGAAACCAGTCATAAAAGAAAAGATAGGCATTTCTGAGTAAAATGGCGTTTTCCGTTTGAAAAAATATTGCTGAGTTGCTGAGGAACGAGCATTTTAAAATTTCGACCGACTTTTGAAAAATATGACATCTCTCATATTGATAACTTTGCGTTGCCCATATCTCGGCAATCATATAAGATAAAAAGCTCAAATTTTTTACATAAATAGAGCCAACATTCTTCTTCCATTTTAAATAAATCCGACTTCTGGGAATGATTTCGTTTTCATACAGTGACCTGTATCCGGTACACCCTAAACTCATATTTTGTCCATTTTACAAACATTTTGTTACATTTTTTGAAAACACTTGGGACTATATATCTACGTAAAAAACTTCGTAGCTTTCTATGCCAGCTTAGAATTAGAAGCTCACACGTTCAGATGTTGTAGTATTCGAGGTCCTCTATCTAATGGTGTTTTCAATACTTTATGAAAATGTTTCGTTTCGATACAGTATGGTGCCAAAATGGACAAAATATGAGTTTAGGACGTACCGGACACAGGTCACTGTATGAGAACGAAATCATTCCCAGAAGTCGGGTTATGTCGCATTTTTCAAAAATCGGTCGAAATTTTGAAATGCTCGTTTCTCAGCAACTCAGCAATATTGTTTCAAACGAAAAACGCCATTTTACTCAGAAATGTCTATATTTTCTTTTATGACTAGTTTCAACAACTTCTGTGAAATATGTTTGAGCAGTGTCGGTCGTGGCTTCCCAGATCGACGAAAACTGGTATTTGACTGTCCATTAACTGCCTGTTAACTGTATGCCAAAAAATGGCCTGTTAATTGCATAAAAATCGAATGAAAATTGTCATTTAACAGCCATTATAATCACAATTTTTTGACTTTGAAATAATGGTGAAAATAATGCCAGATTATAGCAATGTCTAAAAAATTGTCATTTTACGACACCATTAAATGGCATTTTCGTCCATTTATTAGACCGCGTTCACTAACGCCAAATAAATGTGGCCGTTAAATGTCCGTTTTTTCTCCATTTCAAAATGGCAAAGAACTGGTCATAAAATGGCATTTAACAGCCAGTTTATGGTCACCAAGTCATTCACCGTTATATTCTGCCATCATGAATAGTATAAATCACTCTGATTTTCCTAAAATAATTTAGAGTGTTTCTCTTCTTCAATTATACGAGTCATAGAAAGTTGCCTCGAAGAAGTGGTTTGTGGTTCATGACTCGATGCAGATGATAGTACCTCAGATTCAGAAGATATTTTTTTGACATTTTCTAACGGTCTAACAATTGATATTTAAATGGCAAAAAAATGTGACCAGTAGGGTTACTG